AAGTACCTCTATAGAATAAGGACCCTGGAGGTGTATGACTGACTATCCCACCGGCTTGCGAAAACTAGGAAATCTCATAAAACCCAAACATCGCTGAGTGTGAAAACTATACAGGAGGTATCTGTGTTGCGACCATGGGTGATGAGGTTGAACCCGCCAAAATGTGGGTATATGAACCCCAAGTCAGATCTACAAACATAGACCTATAATATCCTCCAATAGGGGTTATAAAACTCTATGACGGTGGTGGCAGCGGGGTTATAAAACCAGGTGACAGTGGCAGCGGTGGCATCAGATAAGAGAATAGCGATGACGACATCACATATGGCTGCGGAAGGTAAGTCGCTGTAGACGGTGGTTGCTATGAAGGTCCTGCTGGTGCAGCTGAGGATGAACCGGAAGCACCTGCTCTCTGTCTACGAGTCGGGGGACGATGGTACTGTGTCGATGAACATCTCTGTCGACGTCACTGAAAGGTCTGCCCTCGTGCATCCTCGAAAAGTAGAAACGATTTACTGTTACTGTTGAACCACTCGTAATAACCGTCAGCAACCATCAAGAGGTCAGTAAAAATGGGCTCTCTACGGAGAAGGCGCCGATGTCGATCCTCCCACAGCACGACCCACTCGTGATGCCTCACCAGCCAATTTGTATCGGTCTTGCCGTGTCTATCTGTGCTATGCAACTCGTCCATATTGCGAGGTGCTTCCGGAATTGGTTGAAAACAACTAAATTTCCAGAGCACGCGATCAGTAGAGTGCCACTCGACGATCGCATAATAGATCAAAGTGACCATCGCCATCCAAATATCTAATGGGCCCCTCAACTCATGTGGGATCACCATTCTCACATCATCATTAGAATATGACACCCATTCAAACTAAAACAAATATATATAATTTCTATCAAAATAATAATCTAATTATACAACTATAATCAAAAAGCATTTTTTAAACATTAAAAGGCATACCTGTGTGCCAGCCTTCTGATCGATTAGCACCCTAATTTTTTTCTAAATCATCAGGTAGCTCCTGATGATTTTTCCTATCAGTAAACCACATATTCAAGGAAAACAAAATTTATTATACACTGTATAAAATGATTAATATACGAAATCAATTTTATAATTACCTCAAGAGTAGCGAAAATACGAATGAGTTCTTGATAATTGGACATAAAAAGGGTAATCGATACCATGCCCAAGACTGTAGCAGTAGGAGACATCCGCCGATAGCATTTTTCTTGTAGTTAGTGGCTCGACACATCTCCATGTACAAGAAAACCAAAACTGCCCATCCCCAACTAAGTGATCCGGCCAGACGAAAGTCGCCAAGATGTCGCAACCACATACAATAAACTTGGTTGCACGATTTATCTGGCAACAACAACTCTCCTATTAGCTACAGTATGCATGCCCGTGCATACATTTTAACTTCATCATCAAAGTCGTCCTCGCTCAACTCCCGAAAATTGGCATCTAACCAATTTAACGGTATCTGACCACCGTTAAAACTTTTCGGGACACGTCCTAGATAGTCCCGACACAAAGCAGTCCATGAACTTTGCGCCATCCCCGATATCACATCTCCATCCACCGGAAGTGCCAGGTGCATAGAAACATCCTCAAGTGTAATCGTGCACTCTTCGTACGGAAGATGGAGTGTGTAGGTCTCTGACCTCCACCGCTCCACTAAGGCAGAAATAAGGTCTGGTTCTATCTTATAGTGACCCTCATATCTACCTATGTGACCGAATCTAGCCTCTACTAAATACGGCAAAACACGACTAAGTATCACTAACTTAAGATTCCTAATAAAAGTATCTAATACATGGTCTATCTCATAGAATTAAATAATTACAAAAATTAATTTTTAAACTAATAATCATGCATTAAATAAATAAATAAATTATTACTAAAAATTTAAATTATATTAAAACGTTAAAATGTTATCGTATCAGCAAAATGTCGCGATATATAATTTTCATCAAAGTGAAGTAGACCTCCTTCCATTTTATATCTGTAAAAAAATTAATTAAATAAAATATGAAAAAAATTTAAATACTTAAATAAATTAAAAAACAAAATATTAAATATAATAAAATATACTTTAAACAGTTAAAATATAATATAAGAGTATTTGAGAGAAGTTGAGAGGTTTGGTGTGATGAAAGTGCTTGTGAATGGAAGTATTTATAGGAAGGGGTGGAGTGTGAACGGTCGGGTCGGGTAGGTGGATAATTAAACCTAAGGTGCGTTACAGGGAGCGCGCCTTACTGATGCGTGTCAGATTTAAAGGTAAAGCACGGCTCTTGCCTCTCGCTATACCCTACATGGTGTCAGATTAACATAAAACGTGTTGCAGGAGGCGCACCTTACTACAAAAGGAATTAGATCAAAAAAAATAATCTAATGAATATCTGACAAAAAAATATAAAGTCAAAAAGTGATATATCACGAAAAACGCCTCATTTGATTCTTCTAAATATGCACTTCCCTTGTAGGGGAATGAACAATCTTAAATTATATTTTTATTATCTCTCTTCCACCTCCTCCTTTAATTAATTGCACCCATTTCTCTCACTTATCCAATGTTGTTCCTTCATTGCATCTTAATTAGGAGAACCCCATCAGCATCTACTCCAGTCTCTTGATTCCCTTTTAAGTTTAACACTCTTCTCCTCCCTTCCTTTGCCTCCTCTGCGTGTCTTTCTATTGTGAAATACAAGGACTGTTATTAATGTTTTTGTTTGCTCTCATGGGGATTTAGCAAAGGGATTCTTACAGAGTTCATTGGCATTCTGTCCACCTCCTCCTCATAGCAAAAAAATACCCATTTTTCTCTATTTGATTTTTCATGGAGGTGGGCATACTGCCAACTGGGATCTATTGGCATCTCTTCGTAAAATCTTCGTGATACATTTCTTCCATCTTTCCTCTCCCTCTTTCAAGTTCCAGGTAACTATCAAACATTCATATCCTCCATGAGATGATATAATATTTGGCAGCTTCTCAGTCTCGACATTTTTGGTTAGGTAACTTTTAACACTACCATTTTATACGAAAAAGAAATAGAGTAAATAACATTTTACCATTTGTTTGGTACTGTCATCATGGTTATGCTATTTGCAAGGTTTGATTGTATGTCTGACTGCTCAACTGAGGCCTGAGGGTTCGCGCGAGCAACATGATGAGCAAAATTTCTGTTTCTAAAATGGTCATGTTCTAGATCTCCTTTGAGGTTTTGACTGTCAACTGAGAACCCTAACTACTTTTTCCATATTCGTTTTCTGTATTTTATCTTGTCCCAGATATCAAATACCTTTTCTTATATTTTTTACAGTTGCAGAAGTATTATCATGTGTTCATCTAGGGTTTTATGAGAAAGATATGGATATGAGAATTTGGTATCCAAGTCCTAGTGAACCCCTTCGAATGCAAAAGGGAAAGGGTGGAAATTGCATAGTAACCCTAAAAAACCAAAGGACAGAAACAATAAGATTTTGTCAGAGTTGCATGAGACCCAAATGATGACTCCAGTGTAGGTGTTTGAATTAATACTAATCTGATACTGTAAATATTGTTTATATCCATGCAGATTGTCATCAGATATCAGATTACAACTATAAAGCAAAAAGATTTTTCATGATCAAGGCTTCTAATGCATGATTGCGCCACCAATTTCAAAATGTCAGTCAAGATATTTATATATTTTATTTTACTTAGTTATATAATATATATATTAATAAAAATCATATACAGTGCACTAATGAATATGTAGGGCAGGGTCTCTTTTAGATGAGCGGCAGCTAGCCCTAGTACTGGATGCTCATGATTGAAATACTGACAAAACTATTAATAATTTTTAAAAACTCAAAACAAAGATGAAAAGGGTAGGTAAACTTCCAATCACCCAATTCAACTCTGGTAACCAGATTCATATTTTCAAATCCTTTTCTTAGCATTGTGAAAGATTAAGGACCAGACTGAGAATTGAGAAAGGAAATGGGGTTTCAAATTTCAACTGTAAGTACGAACGTTTCTTTTTAAATGTGGATGACTGTGTTTTCATTAGGTCTATGTTGTATAAGTTATACCGAGCTTTGAAAGTGTACTAAATGGAGGGTATTTCTCAAGTCGGTGGCTGCTCCGGAGCAGGAACCTTGGATTTTGAGGTTAATGGGGGATGGACCGATGGAGTTAGTGGACCGTCGTCTTGCCTTGACGTTGCTTTGGGCCAATGCGTTAAAGAATTTTGGTCAAGAGCTCGACTTGATGTAAGGGGGTGAAAAGATCGGCTTTGATGATGCTAAAAACAAAATCAATGGGGGGACCATACGAATACATTTTCATTGCTAGTTCCCTTTTTTTCCTTACCTTTTCGCTTCCGGTTAGTTCTGGTGAATAGTTGGCACTGCAAAAAGATGAGCGGTATTTTGTATTATCGACCGTAATGTCGCCCCTTCTTCATTTGGTTGCAGCCCTGGGCCCTCAAACAAGGGCCTATCATATATGTTCAATTTCTGATTCTGACGGAATTAATAGAATGTCTTCTTCTCTCTCTTTTTTTTTAATAAAAAACAAAGGATTTGAATGCTAACATTATGTAGGCAAGGATGGTTTGCTTCCATCGAAGCCAACTTTCACGGTGACTGGTTTACAAAATGGTGGTTGAGAACATGTAAATAATTTATGATTATTATTTTAACTCCATTGACCGTTGCCGTTATAATCCATTAGTTTATTTTAATGCCCGAAATCTAAGATTTGGTTGATCATAATGTTTCTCTACACTTGATATAGAAGAAAAATGCTAGTAGTTCTTGTTACAATGGCGACAATTTAAAGAGATCCAACTAAACCAATATCCCTCACTGTCTGGAAAAAATGTCCACATTGAATGTCTGACCATAAAGGGATTATATACAAGATCCAATCTAATACCTCACAACTAAATGAGCATGGTTGGCTAATCTCAATAATTTTTCGTGGTTTTCAGGTTGTGGGTGTGCATGACGTCGTTGCTTTCATTCCTCAAAAAGCTAGCCTTACCCGTGAGCCATCCAATGACTCTCTAAGGTTGCCGCCATTGTTTATTATTGGTTGATAAACCCTCCTATCAGAGCTTTCACTTATTTCATCTGAATCGTAGGATGCTGTCATCCCACATGGAGTCCCCATACCAGAACGTTGAAATGAGAGAGGATTGGTTGATATCCGACTTTGTTTAGGAAGACCAACATCAAACCGCCCCGGTTCATAAACAGACAATGACTCTGCTACCTCAATTGCACGTTTCCTTGTGGCATCGTCTACATATAGCAGATCATCAATCCTTGCCGTTATGTTGAATGCTAGGCTTTCCATCACTCTCGAGTAGCTCTCAAGGATTGATTGTCCTACATCCTACAAAAAACCAACAATTTTAATCTCATCTCTTTGCCTTATTGCATATTTCAACAATTCCATAAACATTCAAATTTCAAACAGATCGCAGTTTTTCCGAGTTCTAGATAAAAAAAAAATCATGATGCATCTTAAAGAATAGAGACACATGTTATCGACGGAAACAGGTGCATAGGATCTATATAATGCTTTAAGAACTGATTCATGCTAATAAGGTGAAGTACCTTGTTATGCTGAATCTTACTCATGTCTAAAGAAGTCTGACGAAGGCCTGGAAACCGTAGCCGTAAGTTCAGTAGGAGTGTCTCAGCCCGCTCAGCTAAAACCTTTGTCTTTTCTATGTCACCGACAAAACCCTTAACTTTGCCACCCCATGCTGTCTTTCCCACTTTTGCACGCAGTGAGTGCCTTCTCAAGTACTTGTGTTTCCAAATATGCACAGAAGCTTCAACCCTGTTGGCCATTTCCAGAGCAGTGTATTCCGATGACAGGTCTAAGTAATCAAGAAGACACTCAGGAGAGAACTGGTCGGCGGTTAAGTAACGGTACATGACCTCACCCAAACAATCCTTTCCGCACTGGAATACAAGTAAAAAAAAAAAGCCATAGTGAACAATATGCTCTCTGGAAGAAAAAGGGAAACAAAGGGATGCATGAGCAATAATTATCAATCAAAATGCATGAATATTTGATGCAATTCGCCTCATGGATGCTACATCTAAAAGTAAATTTATATGTTCTCATGCCACAGAGAACAATTTTGTATACTATGGAGCAGTCTCCGAACCTTGGGCAAGCTTTTGAGGTAAGCATTTGGGATTTCCATCTCAGCCAAGACATTGTCATTTATCGCCATAGCAGCCTTAAGGATCTGGTGTGTACATTCCCTACACTGCTGCAATCTCTTCCTTGAATCTTCAGATAAACCGGAGGGGGGAACCTTGGGAAATGGGAGCCACCACTTCTCTTCCAGTCTAACAGATGAACTCCCAGACGGCGTAGACGAAGGAAATGCCTCAATTCCGTCAGTATCGTTGATAACTACTCCGCGATCAGCATAATAAAATTCAGAATTATGAAAGCCATCAAGAATGCTTATCAGCATTGCATCAAGTTTCTTGAGTGCTGGGAGGTTTACATGGAGATCCGAGCGTGGCCGGGCCACCATAACCTCAAAGGTTCCCCCACCTGGAAACTCTTGCAATGATGGTTTAAGCTCCACTATGGAATCACTTACACACAAAAGCCAATCCATCTCTCTACGCCACATCAACTTCCTCTGTGGTGATAATGGCTGTAACTTCCATAGTTCACCAAACACAGAAGCTGAAAGAAATTAAAAAAATAGATTCGGATTTCAACCTCTCGTTAATGATGAACCAAGAAAAACAAAAATGAAAATTAAGTACAAGAAACTAACCAGAAAGATTTGTAATGGCATTGGATATGGCAAGAGCAATACAAACTCCATTCCCTCCACCTGACATATCTTCTCCAAGCAAAAGTTTGGCGAACCTTTCCTTCATCATTTCTACTTCTGCAAAAAGTTCTATAGAAATTAAAACATAACTAAACCTAAGCAAGATGAATAGCAATATCAACCCAGACTCCGCAGAAAAATATTTAAGGTTAAAGTCCGATTTGTACCAAAAAAATGGAAAGAACTAAAATAAAACTTGGTGCCGAGTTAAAAACTAAAATAAAATAATCGATGGAAAACTACAAAACCAAACAGAGCTTCAGGGATAAACGTAGATAACAGATCTAAACAACTGTCACCAAGTACGTTAGCAAATGCAGCAAAATATTCGACAAGAAGTCATCGATCTTCACCGTTATAAACTAAAATTGCCGGTAAAACCTTCAATGAAGCAACAAATTCAACTCTCAATTTGGTAAGTGCTAAAAAGAACATAAAGCAAAGTATAGTGAACGTACCCGCCATGTCGGTCTCTTGTTCCTCCGCCTTCGTCGACGGGATGACCACGTGTCTGCCACCGACAACCGGCAACATCACGGGAACTCGCGTCGATAAACTAGAAACGTCAACGAACTCTGAACCCACGGGCGGCGAAGAGGTCAAAAAACTCGAATCACCTCGGTCAAAACGACGACAGGAAAATCCACTCGAGCTCTCGGATTCGCTCACGTCGGCGCTCAAACTGTAGCTCTCGAACCGCTCACTTATTTGATCGAAACATTCCTCAGACGAAACGCTCCCCATTCTTCAAGTCAAAGATCAAACGCTCAACAAACTTCCCAAGTTTAACGGGATTCTTGCCAGCATTATGGGGCGGTACGGTCGAGTTGTAAAGAAGAGAAAGCAAAATAATAAAGAAATATAGATTCAAAAGAAACTGCACTCGCAGTTTCTTTAACTGGCTTTGGAGTCCATATTGCCGTTGCGATGGAAACCAGTCGCGGTTTCCCCTTTTAGTTGGCGGGTGATTATGGAGCGTGAGAGGCACGCGCGTGTAGGGTTGCGAAGAATATTTGTTTCACGCGATTGGTTAGAAATGTTGAAGTGCCGCGGTTTAATTACCGTATGGAGTTGGGTTGATGTGTTAATGGGATGACATGTAGAGCAGGTTAGCGAGATCATCATTTTATATTTAAATTTATGGATTCCCCCACCAACTTTACAAGTGCTTTTAATTTGGTCCATTATGAGTCGGGTACAATTACTCTACTTAATTACGTTTCTTTTATCAAGCAAGGAATTGGCATTTGGCATGATTATGAACTGATAGCAACACGGTTGTGCCTTGAGCAATTTTTCATGCACATTTTTTTAGCCTTTTGGGTTTAGAAATTAACATAAAAATGTTTTTTTTAAGAAAAAGAACTGGCCTATTAAAGCTTTTGTTGGATTTATTATGAAAACGCAAATGAGAGATGAGATGAGGACAATACTTCGACAGCCATTTGCCTTGCCCATAAGGACAACATAAACTAACACATAAGGGCAGTAATAATACCTACAACCCAAGGCAATATTTTCCCACAAAATAGAGGCAGGGCGAAGCAACATGAAAGCATTTGCTTTTGGATGCCAACCTTCTATAATAACGTATGTTTCACACTAGTCAAAACGTAAGGGATCAAAGAGAAACCGAAAGGCTCAGAATAATTCAATTCAGAAGAGGGGCGAAAACAGCAACACGCCTTGATAATCCACACTATATGACAAACTTGATGCGTAGTGTATCACTGGTCCCTGGATATAGGAGTGTGTCTTCCGCCTCTTTCAGTCAGAAAGAATCCATTTTCACGTCTGTAACATCGAGCTGCATAATCTCTGCTCTGCATCCCAGAATTGATCCAATACTGCAAAAAGAGTAGAATCGTTAGATTTCCATGACTCCTCAAGTACACATACATGATCTCAAACGTATCCCAGCTCAAAGGCTCAAATCATTCGGCTATCGTCACAAACTGATAGTACAACCCTATTTATTTTCAGTTTAGCAAAGTACCTAGGCTGGGTGCGCCCAAAATCACCATGAACAAATTCCTTGATATAAGTTCCAGCCTGCACTCCAAATATGTCAGTGTGTTGCGCATTCCACAACAAAAAAGCACGATACACAAGCAAGACACCCCGATACTATGCTAACACCTTTCCTGACCGATCTGACCAGCATTTATTCAGTGACACCATTTGTAACTTTGTATATCATGGCCCAAATATTTGTCTAATAAGAACATATTGCAGAAGAATGCCACATTGAGTAGTCTAGGCAGTATTAAATTCATGAATAATCAACAGCATTCTACAAAAGTGCTACGCTTATATTCCATACAACGGGTATGTGACTACTGAGTACCAAGGCATGGTCCTCATAAAACAAACCAAGAAGGCGAAAACTGTGAATTTCACCTATTTGAGGACCCTCCACACCCCTCTAAATAAAATGGAAATATCTGACCATGTTTCAAGTGAAAAAATCATTACCTGGGTGCAAAGATGCAAAAGAAAATATTGAGAGCTTCCAGCAATCCTCTCAATCTTCATCCTATACAGGATTCAGAAAGAAAAACAGAAACATGGTTAAGCCTTTCGAATTTAAAAAAATGTACACGACTGAAGAAAAGATGTACAAAGGACTGGTGCCAACCAATGTATAATTTTCTGGCGTTCCAATGGACTTCTACGATGAAGCACCCGTATTGGGGTCTTTTGCAGAATTTGCTGCAGGAGGACATCAGAAAATCCACTAAATAGAGTGATATATTATATATACACGGTGGATATGCTGTGAAAAAGGAAAAATGAATCTCAAAGAAAAGCTAACCATGTCATTAAGCAATGATATTGATTGCACATCCTCATCTTCAAGTGGACGAGAAATCCACACTAATGCACAATACTGCTTCTGCATGAAGGAGGAGGATATTGTCAAGTCTTACTTTATTGAAACTTCATATTTCAATCCAAATGATAAGAGAATGAACTACAATAAACAAATATAAAAGCCAAAGCAACCTGCTTCTCAGCTTCTCCTTCACGCATCAGTGTCCAACCCTGACTGCCTACTACTTTAAGATTTTTAACTCCAACCTGCAAGAAAGTGTTATATGCAACTAGTTCTAAATCATTTGAAACACTAAAGGGTGTTTGAACAGAAACATCTGTATAACAATGTATTAGAGCTCACGAGTTTATTCTCCAAACAATTTATCTTTAATTCGATTTCCTTAATGGTTTCCTCGGATGGTACTTGGCGGGCATTTTGTATCTCAAGCAGAAAAGGCCTGCCTGAACCCAACATTCGAACCTGCAATAAGTTCCATAGATAAGCAAAACATCCATTGATTTCTTGAGGCCCAAATATGTATCAAGTTTAAACGAGCAATTGACAAAAAGCAGAACTTCATCACATCAATATCTTCTCTGCCAGCAGCATGAAACTTGTAATTATCACCCCGACACATAGGAAGGATGTTGCTACCTATAACCTCCTAAATAACAGACAAATAGATTTGTTAGTTTCGGATATTATTATATATGTAAAGTAGCCTCTTTAGGGACTATAAAGAAAAACCAAAGCAATATCCAATACCTCTACAGATGCTTCTCCCATCCTTTCCTCATCAATTATCCAGCGTGTTTGACTCACATTCCTTGAGTACTGCAATAAAAGCAAACAAAATACTGGAAATCAAAACAAAATACGAGGTTTGTTCAAGATCTCAATAACTCCAAAGGATAGTATTTTTTGCCTCTTTCCACAAAGACAGTTGAAGAAGATCTTAGATAAAGCACTGTTTTAAAACAAACAATTGCCTTCTTGTAATATCATAAGTCATAAACTCATAATACTTGAATATTAATGTAAAATACACTCTAATGTATTGACTTACCTTCAGATATCTACCACATAGATAAATATGTGTCCTGTAGCAAAGGTATACCAAATGGCAAGGTTCACTGACCTGAAAGGCACAAACTAAAATAAATACTAAGCATCAACATAAACAGCAGTATTGGATTTCAAGATCACCAAGGGTAGTAAAAAGTTTTGCAAGCAAGGAAACTGCAATCAAAAGAATATTATAGTGGGCAACCTTATCTATGGGCATTCTAAAGTGTTCAGAAGGATCTTGATCTTGCAAAATATTAGAAGATCTTCCAGTAACAGAAGTTGTTTCATTGGTAGAATAATCAGAACAAACTTTACTCGTAATCACTGTTTCATCATTTACATTGTGCAACCCATTCCCAGTGCCTGTACCATCAATGAAATCAACCTGAATATTATGGCCATCTAGATGCAACCGAGTCTTAGGTAGATTCAATGGATGTAAAATACCTATTCTTCGCCTTTTGAATCCCTGATTCTTCTCAACATAGTTATCCGATGCTCTTTTATGAGTGTAAGTCAAACGGATCCGGAAACAGCCTGAACTAGTAGATTTAACATCCTGCAAAACTTTAATTTAATTCAGTATGAGTTAATTGCACAAGTGGTCCCCAAACCATGACCCCCATTCTAAATTGGCCCTAAACTTTAAAACTTTCTATATACACCCCCAAACTATGACCCTATTCTAAATTGGTCCCTAAACCTTAAAACATTATATATGAATCCTCAAATTATTGGTATCATTCATTCCATTTTCAACCTTACATTAAGGTGGTTTTTGCAATTATCTCAGTCAGTATAGAATGTTTGAGGACCAATATATAATGTTTTAAAGTTTAGGGACCAATTCATAGTTTGGGGGACATCTTGTGCAATTATCTCATTCAGTATATAATTCAACATGAATAAAGAAACAATTATCTTCCTAAAATAGATTCAAACCAGCAATATTTCGAAACATTAAACCAATTCCAAGAAAATTTTACTTACCAACAATGTTTCAAGGGGTTTCGTTATAGCAATTTTCAGAACATCCTTCACAGAGACACATTTGGAAAGCACTCTTTCTTGAAACCATGGCTCTGATCCATCTCTCTTTTTCATACCTAACCTAAAAATATTTGGGCAGGGAGGGTATTAATGGGCAAACTATAAACCCTAACATAAAACCCACAAAAAGGAGCAAAAATAAGGCTTACAACAGCGAGGATTCGTTTTCCAAAATAAGTTGTGGAACGGAAACTTCTAGAGAAAATCCATCAATTTGATGGCCCTCTGTTTTCACTAACTCCGAAATGGTGGAAGCCATATCGTTTGGACTCTCCATTTTCACCATCTCTTCTTTGCCATCGCAATAACTGAACTGTAATATACCCAAGCAAACGCTGCACAATTGAAAATCGCCTTCTGATTTAAAACCAGTTACTTCTTCAAGAATTGAACGGATCATCGATTGTGATAGCAATGGATGGCAATAAATATGGTCCTCGGTGCCGAATATCCGTAGGACGCATCTCGAGCACACCTAAAACAAACACACACAGGCCATATTTGATTGATTTTCATTTAGTTTATCAAATTCAAATGTCGATGCAATAATAAAAACGGTTCCGATTAGGCCATTTGTCGATAAAATGCAAAGAGAAACGTACCCCGATAGACAGAAGGTCCTTGACCACGTGATAAGGCAATGACCGGACGGCGTCATTTAGAAGCTGTAACGGGATCTCCTCGTCGCAGGAACCGGCGTGGCTCTCCATTCCTGCCGAGCTACTCAGCTGCGTCACCTCCGTGGCGTCGCTAACCTGCGCGGACTCGACCTCGTTGGACATTTTCAAACAGCCGGTGCGTTAGAAAAGAGGGGTTTAAGTGTTTACTGTAGACGGCGGCAGTTAAGAAACGGAGTTTTTAGTGTAGATGAGTTTGATTTGAACAGACGAGGCGGTTATGCCCATTATTTCAGTAATGATAAGTACGTCGATGACAATCAAACCCATGGGCCAATAGACAAAAATAAACAACGAAGGCCCATTCCTGACCTCTCTGTTCTCTTTACAATTTTAGATATTCCTATGTTATATTATCAATCATTTTCCTACTTAGCAAAACACCTTGTTCAGCTTCCATCCAATGTTTCAAACTTAACATTCAAATTCAATATCATTGAGAGATATTTCGATTGTATGATCGATATAAATTTTTTAGAATAAGATATTGTATTTTTAAAATAATATTATCATTTTATCTATCTTCAAATGAAGAGAGAAAAACGTAAAATGTATATTGGGTAACTTTTTTTCCTAATGTCAAGATGTCGCACAATGACTCAATTAGGATTTGGTGATGACATCAACTTAATTATAAAATTGAAGAAATTGAATGTCTTTGTTAAAAATTTATCAAAGTAATTTTGACAAAATCATATTCATCCAAAAATGATTTTACCAGATTTATCTTATTCCTTTAAATAATGCGCCTTTACCTTATTTATCTTATATTTTTTTATTTTTCTCAATGTTATCCTAAATAAGACTAATTTGTATATTGTACTGTAAATAAGCTTGATCTAATATTAACTTTCTTTAATGGCCTATAAGATGCTTTCTTTTTTATTAATGGTAAGTATTTTGAACTTCTTGTGTGCTTTTGCAGGCATCGTTGTATATATTTCACGTGCATCTGGTGAAAAAATTTACAATTTCGTTTGCATGTCTATCTGGTGAGACATTACTCACTAAGATGTGGCTTCAAGATATTGTTCTTTCTCAGTGGAACACTTATGAAAATGATCATTCAGATGAACAAGAGACCCAATTTTGATGCCACATTACTCACTGTGAGGTCGGGCTTTGTTCACCTGCATGGCTTAGCTTATTGTCACTGACCGCGAGCCCACAACCGAGGCCAGCCCATGAGAAGTAGCCCAAGACTACTTTATTGGTGTTTTCAATCTTTTGGGCCCGCGAAGAGACTTTACAACCATAATCCCTTGATTGGTGGGATTTAAATCTGTATAGATAATGCCCAATTGTTTTTGGTAGGTAAGATTCAATCTAGGCCGTCGATGTAATTAGATCTTAGCCGTTCATTGAGGGGAGCTTCAACTATAAATAGAGGCCTTCTCTCCTCATTTGTACTCACTCCTCCAGTTTAAGAAATCATAATAGCATTACTCTCTCAAAGCTTTCTTATCTTCCTTTTGTGCTAGTTCTCTTATTTTGCTTCCGTTGAGAATCTGAGCATCTTTGCTTGGGTTATTTTCAGGCTTACTTAACCGCAATCACTAAGAAGACGACTAAGGCCGCACGTTCCGAGGTGTCGAAGTTCCAAAGGCATGACAAGTGGTATCAGAGCTAGTTTTGCGAGAAATGACACAACACAACCAAGACGAGATCCCAACAACCAACGAAGCGATGGTGACTCGTGCTGTTATGGCAAAAAAGCATGGAAGCTCGAAGGATGTCGTGGCTTTATTTGATCAAAGAGTTGGTAGGCTTGAAGATCGGTATAATGAAGTCAATGAGACTCAAGACTCGATTGAATCTCACTTGGAGAAGTTGGAGTATGTGGAAGAATGATATGACCACGAAACTCAAGCACTCATCAACGATATGGCGGATACGATAGATGAGCGCACCAGAGGCCTCGAGAGCATGTACATGGCCATGAGGGCCGAAATAATACGGGAGGTATAGGAGCTCAAGAGTGAGCTGCTTGTCTACAAGGTTGCCGTGTTAAATGGCGTGTCTGGGGAGGCGCAAGCACCAAGACCTATGATCGACGTCCCTAAGCCAAAGGAGTTCAAAGGGAGTCGGACTGCCCAAGATGTAGAGAATTTCATCTGGGGCATGGAGCAATTCTTCCGTGGCATGGGTATCGAGGATAATACCACCAAGGTAAATGTTGCTTTAAATTATCTTACTGATGTTGCTATGTTATGGTGGCATCGTAGGTGTTCCGAGAGAGCTAATCCAATTGGGACATGGGAAGAGTTCGTGGGTGAATCAAAGAGCATTTTTATTCGAAGAATACTGTGCTCGAGGCTCGAGCAAAATTAAAAACAGTTGAAGCATGACCGCACTATCTTGGAGTATGTCAAAAACTTCACTGAGATCAAGATGCAAATCTCGGACTTGGGCGAATCAGAGGGGTTCTTTGCATTCATGGATGGACTACAACGTTGGGCCAATATGGAGATCCAGAGGAGATGAATGATCGAACTTTCCAAGGCATTAGACACAACTGAGGCCATTGCCCCGTTTGAAGTGAAGAAGACTGTCTCTCTCTTACCCAAGCCAAAACCCAAAGGTAATGGTGGGGGAGAGAAGACCAAAGGGGGTTTTCATAAGCCAACAGTGGGTAATGGGAAGCCGAATGACCGACCTAGAAAGCTATCTAATCCATGGGAAAATAAGGGCAACTTATCGTGCTTCACTTGTTGAGGAAATCACATGAAAAGAGATTGTCCTCAGCTCGTGAAAGTTGTAGCCATCAAGGAGACTGATGGGGAAGAGAGTGAGACTCTCAAGCTTGGCTCCATCCTTAGCACCATGGAGGTCAAGAAGAGTCGCAAAAAGAAAGGACTGATGTATGTATACATCACAGTGACATGCCAAAAGATGAGTGCACTAGTGGACACATGTGCCTCAGAGTTGTTATTGTCCGAACAAGCTGCCAAGAAACTTGATCTTCGTGTAGAGAAGACAAGTGGATTCATTAAAACCATCAATACCAAAGAGGTTCTGATTGTTGGGGAAGCAAGAGGAATCAATCTCAGCATTGGAGGATGGATCGGGAAAGAGTCCATAAAGTTAATCTCACTCGATGACTTTGACTTTGTTATTGAGATTAGTTTCCTTGATCGGATTAATGCGTTCCCCCTTCCGTTTGCCGATTGCTTAGTAATTTGTGATCTGAAACATCAATGCATTGTTTTGGTAAGTCGAGAATTCGGAGTCGATGACAAGATGTTGTCTGCGATCCAACTCTCAAAGGGGGTGCGTAGAGAAGAACCCACTTTTATGGCTTTATTGGTGGGATTTGAGCCTACAATGATCGAAGAAGTCCCGACAGACGTGGGGAAAATGTTAGTAGAGTTTAGGGATGTAATGCCAACAGAGTTACCGAAGTGTTTGCCATCAAAGAGAGAGGTGGACCATAAGATCGAGCTCATTCCAAATACGGAGCCACCCGCTAGGGCACCATACCGTATGGCCCCACCAGAGTTAGAGGAGCTTCGCAAACAATTGCAAGAGCTCCTAAATGTAGGGTATATCCAACCGTCAAAGGCACCTTTTGGTGCACCAATGTTATTTCAAAAGAAGCATGACGGTTCCCTCAGAATGTGCATCGACTATCGAGATTTGAATAAGCTCACCGCGAAGAACAAGTACCCGATCCCATTGATTGCCGACTTGCTCGATCAACTTGGTGGTGCGAGGTGGTTCACCAAGTTAGATTTACGGTCCGGATACTACCAAGTCCGGATAGCCGAAGGCGATGAACCGAACACTGTTTGTGTGACAGGCTACGGTTCATATGAGTTCCTTGTGATGCCCTTTGGCCTCACAAATGCCCCTGCTACCTTCTGCATATTAATGAATAAGGTACTACAACCCTTTCTTGATCGTTTTGTTGTAGTTTACCTTAATGGCATCGTAGTGTATAGTAAGACCTTGGAGGAACATGTTGAACACTTGAGAAGGGTATTCCAAGTCTTACGAGAGACGAACTTTATGTCAAAGAGGAAAAGTTTTTGTTCGAGTATACGGAAGTTTCGTTCCTAGACCATATTGTTGGAGGGGACTCTAGATGGACAGAAACAAGATCCGGGCAATTGATGAGTGGAAGCCACCCACCAAGGTAGCCGAATTATGACCATTCTTGGGATTAGCCAACTACTACCGACGGTTCGTGAAGGGCTATTCTAAGATTGCCACACCTTTAATCGAGTTACTCAAGAATGACAAGGTGTGGGAATGGAGCACGAAGTGGCAAGAGAATTTTGAAAAGATCAAGGAAGCCATGGTAAATGAGTTGATATTGCCTGATTACACTAAACCTTTCGTAGTTTTCACCGATGCATCCGATGTTGCCATTGGTGGAGTCCTTATGCAAGAGTGACACTCGGTTGCATATGAAATCCGGAAACTTAATGAGACCGAGAGGAGGTACTCGATTCATGAAAAAGAGATGATAGCAGTTGAACATTACTTGCGCACTTGGCGACACTACTTGCTTGGTTCCAAGTTCGTGGTGTTTACCGACAATGTTGCCAACAACTACTTTCTTGCCCAAAAGAAGCTTTCTCCCAAACAAGCTCGTTGGCAAGAGTTCCTTATCGAGTTCGACTTTTCCATAGAGTACAAGCCAGGAAAGGTGAACTGTGTCGCAGATGGCTTAAGCCGGAGGTATGCCATCGAGATTGTGAAGGGTACATTACTTGAGAGGATCAGAGAGGGGTTGCCACATGACCAGTGGCTGAGCGAATCATTGATGGTGCAAAGGAGGGGCGAACCAGGGAGTTCTGGATCGAGGGAGAATTGCTTTATTATCGAGGACATCGCCTTTTTGTGCCTCGATATGCGAAGTTGCGCAAGGAGCTCATGAAGGAATGCCATTATTCCAAGTAGGCGGGACATCCTGGAGTTGATCAAACTCTGGCCCTACTTTTGGAGCAATATTATTGGCCAAACATGACTGAAGATGTGTAGGCCTATGTAAAAACTTGTCTTGTGTGCCAGCAAGACAAAATTGAAGCAAAGAAACCGACGGGACTATTGCAACCTTTGCCCATTCCAGAGCGCCATTGGAGAGTATTTCCCTGGATTTTATAATAGGTTTGCCCAAAACTGATGGACTTTCTAGCATAATGGTTGTGGTTGACAGGTTTTTGAAGTATGCAATGTTCATACCCGCATCCAAGGTGTATCCAA